GTGTGCAGTAAGGAAATGGCTTTATCAACCAGGTGGTATATTAATGAAACGTGCCCAAGATCAGTATTATCAAAATGCTAATAAACTTGAAAATTTGAGGTAACTCGAAAGATTTTTAACACAGGTAGAAAGTGTCGATGTGAAATAAAAATCTATAAAGTGTATGCCCCCTTTTCTTCACGATTGCCATCGAAGATCTAGCAATGATCCTTTAGATCGAGTCTTTGACTCTCCTGGCTCATACTAAATAATTCGTAAATGAACAGATCGCTGAATCCGAAATTAGTTTTCATAGTATCTAAATTTGGTTTTATTAGTTGCAAGAAGTATAGTATATAAAAATGAGTCAAGTATATAGAAATTTTAATTGTAATTGTTAATTATGCAAATAAATAAACCGAAAGATACATTAATCATTTGCTGATCATAATTTTTTTGCAATAAAAATATTGTACTAATCTTTTATGTTACTTCTGTGATAAACAGTTTTGATATGATGGATTGTGATACTTGAACCTGAACAAATAGTTTGGTAATTGCTTCTAAAATGGAAACAAATGTGTCTTCTCATGAAGTATTTAATGATAAGTGTAAGCGTGCTCACAAACCTTGAGATCCCACTCTAAAGAATGGAAAAAATTATAAACTTAATATTTAGTGCATTACCCAAATTAAAAATAAATGTCTCTTATTCTCAAGTAACAAAAGAGAATACTATAGGAAACGTGACCAAGGCTTCTTTATTCCGCTTGTCTGTCAATAAAAATTCGAATGAGCTTATACAAGAGAATGCGCAAGATTCAGACCTAATAAAGCATCTATTAGCACCTTACCATGATATAGATTATTTATGTATAAGTTCTCAAAGAATTGGATATGAAAATCATGTCATTTCCAAATTAAGAAAGAGAAAAAGAGACGTTAGTCCTAATAAAATAGATAAATATTCAAGAAAGCGTATAAAGAAATACTATTCAAGAAAGTATATAAAGAAATATTATTCAAGAAAGCATATAAAGAAATACTATTCAAATAAGTCTGAGACTCGAACCTTTGCTTCTTCTAATAATGTAATGAGTGGCCTAGATTCTCAATATGTCAAGCAAAGTATATGAATGCATTCAAAATATGTCATATAAGTCACTGGTATCTGATACCAAAATGCAATTATGTCTAACTTGTAGATTCGAATCTATTTTTTTACGAATGAATGTCGGTTTTTTTAATGTATTAGTCATATTAGCTCTAGTAATATGTTATGTGTAATAAATTAGTTACTATAATAAAAGAAACTAATTCATTTTATTTTTTATCTATACCCAGTTCATTATATAAAATAATTTATAAATGGACTAATCGACAAATCCGAAATTGGTTTTGTTAGTACGAAGTAGATATTATATAAGAATGAGCTAAGTATAAAGAAATTTTGGTTGTAAAACTTATCTGGGTCTACTTGTTATAATGCCTCTTTCTGACCTTCGAACCTTTGCATATAGTATTTTAAAAAATCTTGATGATGAAATCATCCGAGATAAAGAATTTACGGAGCTTGATACATGCTCAGAATGTGATAAAAAAATTCTTATACACAACTACGAACCATTGACAATCCTCTCATGTGGTCATGTATACCACAGATATTGTGTTGAGAAATTTTTACTTACGAAAGAAAATAAATGTCCTAGTTGTGATAAGGTCATTGAGCCTATAATATCGTTAGAAACACCAATTAATTCTCCCAATCTTAGTAGTAAAAAGCGGGGTAGTGATTCTACAGAAAAATTCTCTAGTAAAAAAATTAAGCCAGTTAATAGGGATAGTTCACCAACTTTAAAAAAGTTAATTAAAGAATTGACTACTCCAATTTCCACGCAAATTCCATTAGAAAACACTATTATTCTGCAGTCGGGTATTTCTGAAATGAACATAGATTCAGTTAATTTTCATGAATTAAATGAAAAGATTATCAAAGCTGAAGATAATAATCAAAAAACAAATCAAGACGTAATACGTTCATACTATTATTTCGGAAAAGGATATAATTTATGGTATGATTTCTACAAGCAATCTAATAATGAGGACGCGTCTAATGCTTTAGTTAATGATAAAATCAGAGAGCATATTCCTAATCAAGATAAAATTACTGAGACTAACCTTCGAAAAAGAAAGGAAAGGGCTAAAAAAGTTTTCAGACTTTTTAATAGTATTGGTGGTGAAAATATGATAGATCGAATTAAATCTTTTTTTGCATCAAATATTTCAAATCTAAGTCTAGACGATATTGATTATGTAATTTAAAAGGATCATCCGATAAAAAATAAATTACTGCGCCACTGTGACAACGGATGTCACACCTCTTCAGGCGTAAATAATAAAGTTTTTATTTTTTGTTTTTTTTCTATAATTTGAGCATGTACAAAAATATTCATTAACGTGTTAGAATAAATTCCGCATATGAAATTTATCTGTATCATTTCGCAGGGCTTATCGTTATGCATAACTTATTTGTAAGCACAAAGTGCCACATATTACAGATAAATTTATAACACGTATATTATTTTCTGTTAACATATAACAATGAAAGATCAGAATAACATATTCATACGTAAAGATAAACAAAATTACATCGAAAAGTGGCATATCTTTAGAGGATGGAAGCACGGGTGTAAGGTTTGTGACGAATGCAATCACCATTCACACCTATATTGCAAAAGATGCAAAAAGGTGGCAGATGGAATATATAAGCGATGTGAATGCGATAAATCTCGAATAATTAACGTAGTTTAAACAAAATTTATCGTTATACATAATTTTCTATAATTTATCCATGTAACAAATATTCATAAACGTGTTAGAATAAATTCCGCATGTAAATTTATCTGTACAACCCTACAAGGTTATTTTGTGAGACGGGCATAATATCAAATATTTACACAACTTTATTTATAGAATAAAATGGAAAGTCATAGAAATTTCACATGCATATATGGTTGCAGAATCTCAGAATGTCCTAAACTAAATTCGGTCGTAATAACTTGTTAGTATGGTGGCGTAATTATCGTTAAGTGCACAATTTCTATTTTAAGGCAGGTTTTGAAAAGATATAAATCTGTTGAAAATAAATGCGTTTTCGACACCATACTAAAAATGGTTTTTTAGCATGTTCTTTTTCTAACCATCTTTTCCGTGATGAATGAATCAAGTAATGCTTACACGTTTTCTCGACAAAATGTTCCCAGCGAAAAAGGAGTGATATCTATTGGGTATTAAATATGAGTTATTCTTTAAAAAATTTTTTTTTCAAACCTAGAAGATGCGTTCCGAATCAACTGTTATTGCTGTGATCATTAGAGAGTCGTCGTATATTAAAGGATTGAGGTTCGAGATTGACGTTGTTGAATTGTTGAAGAGCCTTGGCGCTATTGTAATTCATAAAGGGTGAGTTTTTCACTGAGTGTTTGTTGAGTTATCGTATATCTAAAGGTACGCTGCCACATCGGTGTAAAACGTCTGAGAGAGAATTGAAAGCGCATCGTGGCCGACTGCTTTGACAGTTGAACGTTCTTCTCTCTCAGTTTCTCGATGTTCCTGAAAGATGATAGACGCTGTCAGGAGTTAATGATTATTAATGGTGAATAGGATATACGTTAATTACCGAAGGCACTCACCGTAGAATATTCCGGCGTGCATTCCTTAATTGTTAATAATGATGACACATTCACTCACTTATTATTATTGATAGGGGGCGGAGCGACGGAGGGATAGGCATAATTTGCGAGTTTAGAGGGATCAAGATCGTGATCCAGTGCAAGAATTGGAGCCATCCAATAGGTTTGTATATTAATGTTTATTAAAAAAAGAATATATATCAAATTACATTTAATATAGGACCCTCCGTCGTTCGAGAACTTAAAGGCGTGTTGTGTGAAGAAGAGAAAAGTACAATTGGTATGATAGTGGCCCCTAAAGTTACTTTTACAGATGAAGCGATCGATTGTGCCAAGATACCCGCAAATCCAAACATAATATCATCTTAACCGACATAACACATATTCCTGAAATCCTCCTTCATCTTACTCTCGATTCCCTTCAAAATAGATCTTTTAAATTTTCCTTCTATCACGACCTTGTTACTCGTTCTTTACCATTAATTTCGCAATAGATACTTTCTTACTGTTGTCATTCTTTTATCATTTACTTCTTAATACTGTATATACTTTCCTACCCTTGTCATTCCTTAAATCCAAATCCACCAAAGTGTGGTACACGGGTCACTCGAGCATTGGCCTCCACGTGGTGTGACCTGGATAACCAACTAACGAATGCTCATTTTATTTTTATTTTTATTTTTGTTTGTTTTTGTATATTTTAATAATTTTTAATCTAACGTATCCAGTTATTGATAAATACTAGTATCGTGAATAGCGAGCGAAGTATCCTAAATCAAGATTAGCAAAATAACGGGTTATTTTTTTTATCAGAAAATTAATACTGGACTGAAGCTTTATTTGGTTAAATGTGCGAATTTCTATGTGTTCTGTATTTTATCATGTACTTTATTTTGATTTTTATATTAATAAAAGCTGGTCCTAGTGACTGATTTTGCATACATAATCGTGTTTACTTTTGCCCATATATTTCGTGAATTTATTCTGATATATCGACACCGGTGTCTACTAACCTGCATATAATTGAGAATTGTTATAAATTAAAGTGGACACATAATGTTTTTATTTTGAATATATCCGCGTTTTATGTAAAACAATGGCAGATTCACAAACTACAATTGCTTCGTTAAGAGAATTAAATTCCAAGCTTGCGGTCGAGATCAATGAACTTAGAAAGAAGTTCGCTAAGGTTGAGGCTGAGAATATCGAAGTTAAAGCTGAGAATGCGAAATTAAAACAAGATAAAGAAGAAATCGAGGCCAGATTTGTAAAACTAGAGCAAAGCGATAAAGAGAATGCCAATCTAAAAGCTGAAGTAGCAAAATTAAGATGCGACATCTTGGAAATCAAATTACAAACCAGAGTTAATACTGACGAACATGTTGCATCTCATATTGAAGTTATTTCGCAGTCCTCAGCTTGTTTAGAATCACCGGTAACCCTTGAGGTCCAAAGGGGCACTAGAGGGACATCCTCCAATTCACCGCCCATCAAAGAATTAGAACAGAAACAATTACAAAACGATTCTTCTAATATCATCGACACTAGCCCTAAATTATTAGAAGATGATACAGGAGAAAATAATCAATCTTCGATCATTACCCCTTGTAAAATGAATTCTGATGAACTTAATAATGCTCCAAATTCTGATGTATCTTTTGAAGATAATTCATCAGAGCAATCTAATTTACCATGTGAAATAAAAACCCTTACCAATGGAAACGATCAGAACTTGGAATTGGCATCCGATACAAAAACTGTTAATATTGATAATAATGCAGAATTATATTCTTCTGATTCATCTGACGAAGTATCGGGACTTGATAGGAATCAAATTACTGAACAGACTTTAAAGCGAGATTTTACTAAATCTACTGTCATAGTAAAATCTAATGAGATAGATAATGAGCTCTCTTTGGAGAAAACAACTGAGGATTCTACGCAACGCTTGGCTTATTGGTTTGAAAAAGCCATCAAATCCGGTATAAAAGAAATATTATATTGGTATACTTATTCTCTTGAAACTGAAAATAAAGTTGAAAATATGACGGCAGATGGGAAAATAAAAGAGAAGACAGCAAGATCAACGATATATAAAGAAATGCTAAAATATCTACCTAATGTTACTCCAGGTAATTTGCGAATTCGAACTAATAGAGCTAAAAAATTCCTTAACTTATTTGGAGAAAATGGTGTCGGAACAGATAAAATTAAGCTGGTAACTTGTAGCGCAAGCGATATTTCAAGATTAACTAATGTACAAATACAAAATATCATAAATTATGTTAAAGATTATGAGAATTCAAAAACCGTTACCAATGGTATCGATCGAATTCATGTGGCTGAAATTTCAACCGAGGTAAGTGCATCTATATCTTCATCTAATCCGACCCATGATCGCATTTATTTTCGTAATAAAATATTAGGCCAGTATCCTGATATAT